CCCTAGGGTAAAGAAGTACATTTTGGATCACAGGTATTTCGACACGTGGCCCTCAGCTGAAAGACTGGCTTAACAGGGACAGCATTCCCTCTGGAGGGCTTCTCACTAATCCCGCTTTGTTTGGCTTCTCTGTGGGAACATCAGTGTTTGAGTCATGCCTGGGTCACTGAAGGACACATAAAGAACCCTCTGGTCCCTTGCAAGTACTGAGGCTACGAATACATTGAGCATAGGATGGATTTTATTTAACCCCACAAAAAAGATAGAAGACTTACCTCTCAGCCTGTAACCAGTCAAAACTCTTCTCCTTCCCTCTCTGGTGAGTCTCTAGCATATTTCAGGGACTTATGTGGCCCTATGGGAATCCAGGTAGGGATGTGGTCGATAAGAGTGTTGAGTCTGGAGTTAGGAAGAGACATCTTCCTTGGTTCAAATCCAGCCTCAGGCACCTACTAGCAGTGTGACCCTGGGCAAGTCCCTTAACCGTGTTTACCTTAGTTTCCTCATCTGCAAAATGAGCTGGAGAAGAAAATGGCAACCCATTCCAGTATCTCTGCCAAGAAAGCCCCAGCTGGGCTCACAGAGAGTCGGACATGACTGAAAAGATTCAACAACTAATATGATGCTATAAAGTACCAGCTCCCATATACTACACTTTCCAACTTCTTTATCTTCAGCTGTCCTCCAGTGAGTAGATTTATCCAGGGTTATGGTGGCAAATATTTAAGAACCAGCTCTCAAAGTGTGTGGGGGAGATGTGCACAGAATCAAGTTTTAGGTTTAACCTGTATTACTAACATATTTTCCTTTACTCTCTTTAGTGTCGACCGTGAAAAAAAGCAAGAAATAGTGCCCTGGTTTGTAGTGTTTGCCAATTTCCGAGGTAGCAATATTCAAATGAAAATTTAAAACGCGCTCCAGCACAGCCCTGGATATATCCACAGTAATGGTGCCAAACTGGACAAGGATTTCTATAAGTGAAAGTCATGAGTAAAGACTTTATTGCTATATAATTAGCCCGAAGATGCTGAGAGTCCAGGAACATAGGACGGACACCCAGTTCAGTCTCCGTCCACAGCGGAAGGTTATCCTATTCACAAGCTTATCTCAGGCCACTCCCCACCAAGCTAGCCTGAGCTTCAGCCAAACTGGACTCCTCTCTTTTCTTGGAGAACCCTTACCCTTTCCCGCCCCCTCTCTGCCTTTGCTCATATTGTTCTCCATGGCTGGACACCCTCCACACACACACCCCTCCCCACACTGCCCTCTCCTCCCTTTACCTGTTCAATTCAATTCCTACCACCCTGCAAAGTCACATTCGAACTACCTCCTCCCCACTGATCTCCCCCAAATGGAAAGGCTGCTTTGTCTGTGAGCCCCAGCCAGCTCTTTTCTTATATATGTTTCTATTCCACTAATCATGTACCATTTTCAACATGGTAGTTATCTCTTGGTCTTACCCTAGGAGAGTCGGCCTGATTGCAGTGTCAGAGGGATCCCAAGTCTTCCCAAGGTGTCCCACCTGAATGCTAGCTCCCTGCTTTGTTGGAAGGCTTCGGTATCCAGCGTGTGGGAGAACTTGCCAGTGTGGGTGAAAGTGATTCATAGGAATGATTTCACTGAATCTTGTACCTTGACGAGGTCCGTGCTGGGAGCAAATGATGGTAGCTTGTGGCCCTTTCTCTCATGTGAGGTGCAAGACTGTGGGACTGTGGGCAGGGCAGACAGTTCCAGCAAATGTGTGGAGTCTCATCAGCGGAGTAAACGGAAGCACAGTGCCAAAATAGCAAGAGGTTCTTTCCCACTGAGGGTCTTCATTGGAACTTGGGCTGTAGACATGGCTGGTCCCCAATGAAGATCGGAAGTCCTAACTGCCAAAGTCATCCGGCCATGGAGGCCAGAGTCACTGAGGTACCTGGAGCAAGTCACATGACATCTTAGAGACCCAGGCGACTCCCTGAGACTATCCCTTGCAGAGTAACAGGCCAGGGATGTGTGTGGGAAATCCCCATGGACTGGTTCTCAAAATGCCTACAGTCTATTGTGGGGGACACAAGTCACACAGGGCTTGGGACTCAGCGACCCTTTTGTGGCATGATGGAACGAGTGCAAACCAGTGTAGAACAGAAAGGGTGAGAGACTTTAGAGCAAAGGAGGGATTGGGTAAGTGAGGTCAATTCATCGGCCATCTGGTCAGCTACCAGGCTGGGATGTGCAGGTCATTGGAGTGCTGGTGGGTAAGGTGAGGAAGTGAAATGAGGCACAGTCCCTGCCCTGAAGGGGCCTCCTGACAAGCTGTGGGTCGAGTGTGGTGGGGGCTAAGACATGTGCGTGTATGTATAAGTACATGTATATATAATCAGGTGTGTGATAGATTCACGATTACACACTCTCTCCATGCTTAGCAGATGGACTTTGTGAGTGGTAATAAAGAGAGACAGACAGACAGACGGACAGAGAGATATTGAGACAGAGACAGAGTCAAAGAGAGACAGAAACAGAGAGACAGAAAGGAAGAGAGACAGATATTAAGACCAAAAGAGACAGAGTCAAAGACAGACAGAGAAGGAAGGAATAAGCATTTTAGAAAACCTAGCAATAACACATCAGTCTGGACTGGCTTGGGGAAAAAGGACATTCCTAAGAAAGCATGTCTTCTAAGTCCCCTGTCTAGCATTTGAGAGTAGCTGTGGCCCACACAGGTGCACACACATGTGCGGGGGCACATGCACACACACATACACGCTTCCCTGGCCCCCTTCCCATTCCTCCTTCTCCGCCCTCCCATTACCCAACGGGAGCTGCTACCTTGTCCTCTCAATGGGCACCTTGACTGTTCCTTACACAGTAACCACACAGCTCATTGCTGGGCTGGTCCCTGAAGCCTTTCTCCAGCTTGGTACAACCTGTCAAAGCCCGGAGCTGTGCATGGGTATCAAGAACCCCGCATTCCCCATCCCTTCTTCTCCTGTGCTGTTGTTCAGACTAGGCTATGAGAAGTGTCCAAGCATGCTTGGCAAGTTGAGAGGAAGTAGGAAGCCCCTGTGGCTGGGGACATCAGAGTCAGAGGCAGTGGCCTATGTGATTGACAGTGCTGAATCTCAAGTTAGAAGACCTGGTTTCAAATCCTGGTTCTGCCCCTTACATTCTGTGTGGCCTTGGAAATATCACTTAACCTCTCTGGCCTCAGTTTCTTTGACTGTGACACGAAAGAGCAGCACTGGATGACTATGACCCTACAGTCTCTAGGGTCCCTTTCAGCTTTCACATGCTCTCATCCATAATGGCTTCATAAAGGAGGTGGCATTTAAGCTGGATCTATTTTTTCTCCCTCCCGTTTTCCCTCCTCCACTACCAAGAACATCAGGAGAGCCCTTGTAACAAACATGTACTCAAGCAAAACAAATCCTTGCATTGGCCATGCCCAAAAAATGCCTGTTGCACACTGCACTCTGAGTCTCCAACCTCTGTCAAGAGGTGGGCAGCAGGCTTCATCATTGGGCTTCTGGAATCATGGCTGGTCATTGCCTCAAGTTCTTCCAAAGCTGATTGTCTTTGCAACCTCCTTTCTGTCCTGTCCACCATTCTCCTGGTTCCACTCACTCCCCTCTGCATTCCAGCACAATACTATCCTATCACAAGCACATGTCATCACTTATTCAGCTGTTCTCCAATTGACAGGTACCCTGTCAGAGGCCAGTTCTTTACCTCCACAAAAGGAGGTGCTGTCAATTGATTGGTACCTATGGGTCTTTCCCCTCTCACCCGGCAGATGGGGAAGGCAGACTGGTCAGTGCATGAACTGATGGAGAGTATGGCAAGAAGTACCAACAAAATGATTTTTACACTAATTTTACAATTGGTGGTTACCAAGGAGAATCCCACTGGCTGTGGGGCCTAGCTTTGCTTGCAAGAGGCCATGTCTGCTTTCCAGAAAGATCCCTCCCCATGTTGGCACTTGCTTCCTTTTCTGAAATCTTCTGATACCTGGAGAATTCCATGAGCCACCCAACCTCATTGTCACCTCCCTGTCTCTGATATCGGGAGTCAGAAAGCAGTCCACTGCAGCAGATCAAGGCCCTGTAAAGATCAAGGCCCTGGGCTGGATCGAGTCTCAGGGATGCTCCTATGGGCAGACTATCCTAGGGTGGGGGTCAGCTTGTGGCATTACGTTGGGAAGGCTTGGGTGGCTATACAGTCCACTGTCCCTAATTGCACCCTAGGCTTCTACCATCCCCCTGGATCGCTCCAGCGCCTCGAAGAGGGCATTAACACCCACTTTGGGAGCTAGATCTATGATTTTATGCATGACCATGGGCAAGCCCCTTCGCCTCCATGGGCCTCAATTTCCTCCTCTGTAAAAGGAGAAGTTTTCCTAGATGACCTTGTGAAGCCCCTTCCAGTCTAACTCAAAATTGCCCCTACTAGGGGCAGAGCAGCACCTCAGGCCCTCTCCGCTCCTCCCCCTCTGCTCCTCTCTCTCCTTGTGGGTGCCCCTCTGGCCCTCACATCCCTCTCTCTCGACACTTTCCCATTCCTCTCCTGCATCCCTTTATCCCTAGGGGGCAGAGCAGGCTCCTCCTTTCAGTCTTTGAGAGACCTCGAGGCAGGGTGTCTCTCAGGGTCTCTTGAGAGAGGTGGACCTCAGTTCTAATCCTTCTTCATCCTCTAGGTGAGAGGGCTAAGGGTCTGGGATCTGGAAGTGGTAATGTTACACTGGAGCCGCTATAGTTGTGTTTCACCCTGGGAATGAGTTCGAGGTGCTGCCTGAGGCCTGAGTGAGACAATGTAAACAATGTGAGATCTCTCAGATGGACCGAGTGTAACAGTTTTGTAGACTGTTACAAACTCAAGGTTGGTTACGCTAGCCTGAATGGGCCCAAGTTTCAAGTTCCTGGAAAACACATGATCTGTACTGTTACATTAGTATTAAGTCATGGCTAATGCTAAATAAAGATAAAATAGGTAGGATTGCTAGTATTATAATGAGATTACTTGTTTCTGGGGTAGATTTTCACGTTTTAGATCATAAGGCTGGGATTCCTGTCCAGTGGGAATTTACAGCCAGTCTTGGCTGGCTGTCTCTCCCTTAGGAATATATAACCTTTGTCCTCGCCTTTGTGCCTCGCCTGGCACTCGGACTGCCGGACAAAGCAGATGCCCGCTTCTCGCGAGAACATAATAAATCTTTCACTTTCTACCTAGAAAATCTATGAGTGTTATTTTTGGGTAAGTGTAGCACACAGTATTTGGTGCGTTGGCCGGGAAAATGTGACCAGGTGGAAGGACAGAGTCCTGGGACTCTTGGGAAGGCACGCCCTGCATTGATTTTAGGTAGACCATGCTGCTTGGGATTTCTTCCCCTTCCACCAGGTGAAGTGACCCGAAGTGGAGAAACGAGGTGTATAGTGAAAGTAAAGGAGAGGACTCTGCAAAAAATCCCAACCGGTCGGTGTGGATAGAGCAGTCAGGTAACTTGTGTGCACGTGACCTAAGGTAAGCACCTAGGGGACCCTTGAGTCAAGCGTTTACCGACTCTGGAAGGGGTGCCCCGGATAGGAAGGCTCTTGGGTGGCTGAGAGGTGGAGGTGACTCCCCTGTGATTGGGCGTGTGGAACCAGGGGGTTCCATCAATATTGAAATGGGCGGGGCTCAGTCCAATCTGACCTCCGCAGAGATTGAAATTAAAAGAATACCGGTAAATAGTCCCTTGGGAAATAATTTCAGTAATTGGAATGAGTTGCCTAAGTATAAAAGGAAAGATTTTTAAAAATGATTAGATACTCTTGTTTTGTTTGGGGTAATAAGGATATTGGGAGTGGCACGATTTGGCCCTATCATAGCTAGGCGGAAGACTGGGTGTGCCACAAATTAAATTTATTTGTGAATAAAAAGGATCCTGTGGACCCGAAGGAAGTGATATATGCTGGTTTATGGCTTCCAGGGAGCAAGATATTTTTGAGTGAAAATAAATCTAAGAAAGAGAAAAATAAGGAGGGGGAGGTAGTGTCTCGGGGGGGGATCCATTGTCGTCTGTTCCCCCCCCATGCAATACCCCCTCCGGGGCCGGCGGTTCCAGCTTCCCACACAAAAAATAATAATAATGTGTTATTTAGGCTGTATGATTGGAAGTGGATTTCTGACAAGTTTCTCGCTTTTGGATTCTCCCTGTCATTTTGTTCTATGTTTGTGTTTGTGTCAATGACGGTCTGTGATGAATGTTTCTGAGTTGTTGACCCTTTACTGCCAGGCAGCCAAGGGCTGCAACTGGATTATGAAATGCTCCGTTCCCCCACACCCTAATACCAGCCGCATTCCCGGGAGTGGGTGGATGGGGGAGAGAATGGGAAATTATATATATATATATATGTGTGTGTGTGTGTGTGTGTGTGTGTGTGTGTGTGTGTGTGTGTGTCTGTGTATATATATGTATAAATATATATATATGTGTGTGTGTGTGTGTGTGTATATATGTATAAATATATATATGTGTGTGTGTGTGAGTGTGTATGTATATATATAATATGCTTTATTATTCAGGTTATATGGTTGGTAAAAAACAAGTTGAAGAGGATCCTCAAAGTGTCAGGTCAGAATGAGAAAGAAATAAGGTATGTGCAGTTTTAAAGGGACTTTAATCAAAGTCCATCAGAGGGTTAATTAGGTAGAAGGAAGGCAAGAAGGTTTAAACATGTAGGAGAGTGGGGTATGTGTAGGAAGCTTAAGGAAGGTATAATTTATTTGCACAGTGGGAATAAAGGTTTTGAAAGTAAAAAGGTTTGGAAACTCTTGAAGACTTGTTGGAAAATATTCTCTTCCTGAGGTGGATGGAGGAGAGAGAGATAAGGAGGAAAGGAGGGTGCTCAGATTAAAGGGAGGCAGGCAAAAATAAGTCTTTAACCATGCCCTGCCTTATATAAAAGAGAAAAGTTTTTGTGTATCAGAACAGGAACAAAAGGTAATTTATGGGCAGCCAGAGGCTGTGCTGAATGAAATGTGATGTTCACAATTTATTACATTGTTTGGTATTAAGATACATTGGGAAAATGTAAGAATCTGCAAATGGTTAAACTTTGGTATTGTTATGTCAAGTGGCTTTTCATAATTTGAATGTTATTAAAGTAAATTGAAAGAAACTTAAAAAAATGTATAGTTTAAAAAGTAGTAAAAATCGTGTGAGACATGTGAATTGTTTAGAATGCATACTAAAGTTGTAAAAGCCGTTTGGCAAGAGAGAGAGGGAGGGAGAGCCCTATTCAATATCTCCCTTCAGAAACTGAATAAGAAAGCTGTGTAGTAGTCAATTAATTATTAAGCTCCAGAGGTGTCTACCTGGAGGGAAAGCAAAAAGAAATAGTCAGAATACTGGCCCAGTACATTTGAAGCTGACTTAGGATGTTACCATAGGTGATTCCAAACTGTTTGTAAAACTTTTGCAAGAAAATGTGGACATGAAGGGGGAACTGAAATATTGAAGAAATATATAAAGCGTCAAGGATATTGAATTTAGAAATGTATATTTGGATAATTTTAAGAGTACATATTGTTATTTCCCATTAAGAAATTTATTAATTATGAGGCCCCCAGAAAATTTTATTTACTTTAGTTTGTATTTCTAAAATTTTCCTTTATTGTATAATTTGGTAAGCAACTGTATCATCTGTGTTGTCAGGAAAGTATTTTTTTTTATAATCAAAATATTGTTAGGTTCCTTCTTAAGGCTAACAATCGGGTTGGAGGATTTGTAGTAGGAGCCAAGCTCTTCAGGCAGGGATTAGTGCTCATGGAGAAGTCAAGGCCTTGAAGAACCTTGATTGGGAGGGGCCCCTGGAGACTCCTGGACCTCGTAAAGGGGTCTAGAAAGAAATATTTTTTGTTGGGTGTGTTTTAATTTTTTAACATAATCCCTAAAGACTTCTGAATTTTCTTATGTGATGTAATCCAGTAAGCAATTGTATTAGTTATATTGCTGGAAGGGCAATTTCTTTTATTACCTGGAATGTTAAATTAATTGTGAAATCAGAGAAAAGAGAAAAATGAATGAATTTGGCTGTTGGGGCAGTCTATATGATCTTGTTTTGTAACACTTCCTTTTAAGTATTGTAATTTAAGAAAGTATAAAATTTCCAAATTTGGTTTGTATTTTAAAGGGCAATTTTAGTTAAAATTGTTTTGCTATCATTTATGAAATTTGTGACACTGTTAACTAAGTTATTTGGGGTTACTGTTTTCATGCTAAAACCTAAAAGGGTTAATCAATTACTGTATATGGAAAGAAGGAGACAGTGTACAGCCTTATCGGGTTGGTCCTGCCCATTCAAGGGCACCAGTATCAGCCCTCTCTGAGGGCCGTGGCAATTCTCATTATTTTGTAAACTTGCCAAGGTCCCTGGAAACCATGAAAAAAAGAACTTGTTAGGATTATGCAGTTCCTGGACAATGAACTTAGCTTGCTGAGAATTTGCAAGTGTATAGAAGTTATTTCTAATGATTGGCTTTTACACCAGGACAAGTTTAAATTTGAGAAGGAATGATGTTAAGTGAAATCCCTTATGCGTGTGAGTCGTGGTAAATCTTGATTGCTTATTGCAATTCTATGAGAGCAAAATTAACTGTATCTGGCTTTAAGCTGTGATTAGTGAGACTTGCTGTTTGAGGGAAAAGGCTCTTGGGACCATAACTAATTTTGTTTTGAGTTTGAATTTGGATATAGTCGTCTGCATTAAAATCAGTATCTGAGAGAGGTGCTAGTGAATGTGATTCTGTACTGGTAACAGGTGGAGGTAAATGTGACTCATTTGGGAAAAAGCCGAGGGGACAATCTTAGCCTCAAACTAGGATGGGATCGTCCTGGCTCAGTTTCCCCATTGTATTCCTTTAGAAAGGAATGTTTCCCACCTGACTATTCCTGAGTCTGGCCATGAGGAGAAACAGATACTCTGTGACTGGAGAACTGCGACTCTATCTGAATTTAAACAAAGTTAAGGATATTTTACCTTGTTATATTCGATACGTCACATGTCCCTGCTCTTTTTCCTTCTGCAGCAAGTTTCTATGATTAGAGAAAGTGGTCAGTATAAGATATGAGCTCTTTTGTGTTATCTTACTGGGAAATCTAATGATATTTTTATCTAGAACTAGAACCTGTGCAGAAATATATGCAAACTGCTTAAGACTCACCTTAAGATGTTCCGTTTGTTTAAAAGAATTCTAAGAGCAGTACTATTTTTCGTGTAATCAGTCTCTTACTGTTACCAATGTGAGATTCTATTATAACACCATTTGACCACGGAACTTTGTGATATATAGGGATTCTGTGATAACTAGGAATTTAGTTTCTTGATAATACTCTACAATTTGTGTTATTTAAGGACTTTTGCACCAATTTAGTAGGATTTTATGAACAAGAGTGGAAATGCATGCAAGTTATTTAGGGCTCACTTTGGAGATGTTCCTTAGGCAATGTGAGATTATAGTTCCACCTTAAACTGATTGTTGAAACCTGCTGGTTCTAATGACTGACTGTTTCTGAGTGTAACTAAAGGTATAAATATCAAGGAAGGTTGTCTGAGCCAATGATCCATGATGCCAGTAGCCCTGTGAGGGGCAAGTATGAAGTGCAGGGATGATTTCATGGGAAGGTTGAGAGGGCAACTGTTCTGCATGTGCTGAGGTGGGAGCCTCTTGACTTGATTTCTTAACTGAAACCTGGCCGGCTTTAAGTCTGGCTCAATGCAGTTTGCAGTTTGACATCACACTCTGCCTGGAGTTGACAGGAAGTTGGGGAAAATATTGTTCCCTCATTGTAATCTCTTAGTGGCAAGTTTCTCTAATCAGAAGATTTTGTAAGTACAGTAACAAAGTTGCTAAAATAATTGATTATGGAACATCTTAGATTACTATAGAACTGGAACTAGTGTTCCTCTGTGTGTTCCTGTATGAGTTAGGGTCCTTTAATGGCATGGAGACAATTAGGTTTATTTTGTAAATGCCATCAAAGAAACACGGCATGACTAGAAGTTTAGATATATTATATATATATATATACGTATATATATATATATATATATATATATATATATGTATATATATGTATATATATATATATATATATGTATATATATATATATATATATATATATATATACTGTGTTAAAATTGATTATTCAATATATTTATGCATGTACTAGAGCCTGTTATCAACCCCTTAGTGAAATCTCATCCTCCTGGTGAGGAAATTAATAATGGATTAATGTAAAGTATAAGACACTGGGTTCTGAGGTGAATTTCTTAAACATGACAATTGACCCTGGTTCCAATTTTGAGTTTGTGAAATGATCGGGGTTATAAGGATTAGAAATGGTAATTTAAAATTGTGCTAAGGGTACTTCTGCAGGAGAATGCACAGAAAGCTGGTTCCTACAAGAAGACAAGATGCTGAGATGCTGTGCTGGAGATGGCTGGAACAAACACTAAGGACCATAGAACTTCATTGACGACATCCCCTGCCAGACAGCTGTATAGGAAAAGACTTTTTGAATTTTAAAGGGACTAATCGCTCAAACTCCCCCTCTAGGGTTTCCTGTTCATAAACTACAAGTAGGTGATTCAGTATATGTTCTACTTTGGAAAGATGAAAAATTAACCCCGAATTGGGATGGGCCCTTTAAGGTACTTTTAACTTTTGATACTGAAGTTGGCACCCAGGAGCCGGGTTGGACCCATCACACCAGAGTAAAAGAACCAGTGGCGCCTCCTTCATCTGAATGGACTGCTGAAAAACGAGAGGACCTCAAACTATATCTATGAAGGAGACTGCCTCCTACGGGCCCTTATCATGATCCTTAAACTTCTTTCATTGCTTATAGTGACTGTTACTGCTGCACCTATCCCAGTACTGTATCCACATGACAATCATTTTATACAACTTACGCAAAAACTAGGGGAAATATTTAACCTTAAGAACTGTCGGATTTGTGGGGGGCCTCAACAGCTTGAACAATGGCCACGGGTACCCGTGCCCTTAAGTCCGGCCTAGATCTTAAGTAACAGATCAGAGGTTAATAATCAAACAGGTTTTTGGGCTGAGACTGAAGAACATTCCTGGCCCCTAGTTGAATCAATTAAAGGGAAGTATTGTATTAATCAAAAGGGTAGGGGGAAGCAATTGGGGATGAGTACATGTGAGTATACTTATTCCTGCCAGATTGTTTACTTTGAAGTTGACTGTTCCCTATGTCAAGGTAGAGGGAATGCCACTCATATTAAATACACTAATGGGACATGGATATCATGTAAGAGTGCAAGGTACCTTACTGGTACTAATTACCGCACGACCTGCAGATATGTACTGGGAGGAGGGAATCCTCGTTTAAGCTGTAATCTTTCCCAGAAAATTGGTGACTTAGATCGACTAAATCTATGTAAAGATGAAAATAGTATTAATGGGAAACTGAGGCTTCCTTATTATGATTGGGCATGGAGAAATCAAACATGGTGTGGATATTTTAGGAAATTTTGGAGCAAGGAGGATTGTACTAATTCAGATCCAGGGTGGAAAATTGTAATTGGAAAAAAAAATAAACAGCTATGGAAATGCATTTAT